ACCAAGGTTGGACGCCCCTGCTCTAGACCAAGTGTGGCTGGGCGTGAATTTATATCCCGCCTTTTGCACAAGGGATCGAGGCAGCCTGCATAATATCCCCTCCACCTAGTTTTAAGACGACAACAACAACCCTGTGAGGTAGGCCGGGCTGAATGGGACTGGCCCAAGGCCCCCCCAGGGAGCTTCTATCGCTGAGGAGGAACTTCAACCCCGGTCTTCCTAGTCAAAATTTTAAAAAAAAATTATTGTGGAGAATAATAATAATAATAATGAGGTAAACGAGCCGACTATTCACCCGTCGCTGCGCCTAAATAAGTAACACACCTTCTAACTCAGGTACACGGCTTCTTCCGGAAGAGAGCGCGAAGTTCAGGACGGAAGTGACGACACTTCCTTTTCTCCCAATCAGCGAGGAGCTCGGAGGAGAGCTGCTCAAACGCCCGCCCCTTTTTTCCCGCCTCAACCATTCCTCCCCCCAAGCCCCGCCCATTCGCCCGTCTCTAGCCAATTGGAGGGCTTCGTTGTTTCTACCTGCCGTGGCCGAGGGAGGGGTGGAGTATGAAAGGCCCACAGTCTTTTGCCTCAGGCCGTCACCAACCTGCCTTTCTGTCTCTCCTCCCAACGGCCCCCCCCCCCCCCCCCCCCGCTCCCCCCCACTCTCCGCGGCAGCGAATCATCGAGTCGGTGGGCGTGGCTTCTTCTCGAGGGGAGCCGCTCATTTGCCCGTCTCGGGCTATGGGTGGAGTCAGGCGGCTTTTTCGGACCCTCCTCCTTCCCGCAACCCGGGTATAAAAACGGGAGAAACCGCGGCAGTCTTGATTTCGGTCGCTTGCCGCCCGGTTATGTGGGTGTTTGCGGGGCTGTGGGGCGGGTGGCTCTTCTGCCTCGCCTGGGTCGGCGATTTCGGGCGAGCTCAGAGGCTCTTCGCCCATCCTCGCCTCCACGCGGCCTCCCGATCCGATTCCTCCCGGGTCTTGGGGCTTCACGCTTACCGCACTTGCTATATCGCCCAGAAGGTAAGGAAGAAAGAGCCGGGCGGCTTCCTTTCGAGCCCCTTTGTCGAGAAACACCTTGTATTTCTTCCCCCTTCCGCTCGCCTTTTAATCGTGCCTCTGTCCAATGGCCGTGAGTTCCGCAGGATCGCCCCTCGCTGTGCCTGGAAGGGAAGATTTGCAGCCAGAGCTGCAGCAAATAAAGGAAGCCAGGAAAAGCAACCAACCGATGGAATAATTTGCCTTCAGAAGTTCTGACTGCCACCTGTCAGATATGATTTAGGGTCTCCTGCTTGGGAGGGCTGGGGGTTGGACTAGATGACCGCCAATGTCCCTTCCAACTCTTGTTATTCTACATTCAATAGAACAGAAGTTGCCTTCAGAGGTTGTGGGAGCTTCATCCTTGGAAGCTTTCAAGAAGAGATTGGACTGCCCTCTGTCAGAAATGGTGTAGGGTCTCTGGCTTGGGCAAGGGGGTTGGACTAGATGACCTACAAGGTCCCTTCCAACTCTTGTTATTCTACATTCAATGGAACAGAAGTGTTGCCTTCAGAGGTTGTGGGAGCTTCATCCTTGGAAGCTTTCAAGAAGAGACTGGACTGCCATATGTCAGAAATGGTGTAGGGCAGTGGTTCCCAAAGTGGGCTGTACCGCCTCCTGGGGGGGCGGTGGGATGCCTTAGGGAGGCGCTAAGAAGCAGGGGGGCGCTAAGAGGTGCCAGGAGGGTGCTAGAGGTGGGCCTCTCGCAGGGTGCAATTCAGGGGTGGGATTCTACCGGTTCATTACTGTTCCCGGTAGTTGGAGAACCGGTAAAACGAGCCCCTGCCTGGCCCTGCTCCTCTATTCCCTAGCCAGTCAGTCCTTATTGTGCATATGTGACATTGTATGCATGGGCAACAATCGCTGACGGCCACAGCGGTCCAGCCGCACCGAAAAAAAACAATGTGGCAGCTGGAGGTTTTTTGCAGGCACGGGATCAGCGCAGCACTGCAGGCGGGGATTCACCCATCCCAGAAGTGCTGCCTGCACCGAGCCGCAACAGGTCTCCACCTGGGCCGGGTCAAGCAGGCTGCAAGGAAGGTCTCCCGCCAGCTGGTGGGATGGACCCGTGGCGGGGTGGTTCTCCTGGCCCGCTCTGCCGCTGCCTCCGAGTCACCCAGAAAGCTCAACAAGTGATGCCCAGAGCCACAGAATGAGAGAGATGGAAAGCCAGACTTCTTCCCCGGCACCACCCAGAGCCCTCTGGCAGTGGCTGGAGATGAAGCCGCCTCTGCAGGTGGGTGAAGGGGCTTCTCTGGGGGGGGGGGGCAACGGTGGGGTGCGAGGAAGGCAAGACATATGTGCGCACCCTCATTATGCCAAGATTTCCAGCAAAAAGGTGGCCAGGTTTTGAAAAGCAAAGGAAAACCTCTGGCTTTCACGCTAGATCATGGTTAGCTGAGTTAACCTAATTATCTGGGTTAGGTAACCTATTAACCATCCTGATGGTTTAGGTTTGCATCGTAAAATTACACCAAATTTTAAGTCATTAAACACACCTTCAGCATCTCCAGTTTACACCCGGCTGGATTTCAAGATGCATGGTAGAGTGGCATTGAGAGCTGGGCAGCATTCAAAGTTCCTAAATTATCGATCATAGAAAGAAAGGGGTATATAAGGAATATCTTCTAAAGATGGTGACATTTGTACTGTACAGTGTAGTATTTTTACGTACTCCTTCCATTTTTGTTTGATCTCCTCTGAACTGTTTGCTATCTGTCCATTAGCATCCTTTACTACCCAATTTGTGGCTGTGACTGTCTGAGTTCAGAGAACTTTTCGATAACTTTCCTTGGTTTTCCACGTCTGTTTCTTCACTGTCTTTACAGATATTGTTCTAATACTGCTAGACTCTGCTAACAGCTCTCTGAAATTCTGTGGTCTTTGTCCTTAATTTTGACTTGGAAACTGGGAAACCATGAATTGCTCAATTGGAGATTAAAAGCTGCCTGGGTCACTCACTCTCTCTCTTAGGCCAACCTACCTAACAAGGTTGTTGTGGGGAAGAAAGGAGAGAGAACACAGCTTTCAGTAATATACAATTAAGGTGTGCTATAAATATAGGAAATAAATAAAATTGATTTCATTCCACAGTGGTTTTCTATCAGTGAGGTTCAGCAATTGAACCAGTGTAAATACCCTTTCCTATTTGCTCCAGCAAATAATATCACAGATGGTCCTCAGTTTATGGCCACAATTGCTCCCAGAATTCTGTTGCTAAACAAGATGATTAAGTGAGTCATGCCTAATTTATGCAGTCCAGCTACACCGAAAAAAACGGGGTAGGCATTCATGACAAGGGTGACGTGGGCTGGCGGGGAGCCCAGCGAGAATAGTGGCTCAGTCCTGGATTGCCTTCCCTGGCAGCTAGCTCCAGGAGGAAGGTAAAGTCATGGCCATGGGACGACTAAAAATGTGGTCGTGGGTGAGGAAACGGGGAGATTAAGGGCCAGGGCCTCTAAAAGGAAACAGGGTGATGCAGGATTAGCCTAGGCTTGCCTGGGCAAAAAATAGGTAGATAGGTTAAGGAAGGGATAGAGAGAGAGAGGGAAAGAGAGACCTAATGCATCAGATTGAAATGAGGCCTAGTTTAGAGACCCTTTTCCACATTGAAACATCTTTGGCTTCCAGTTAAAGGTTTTGTGGATGAAACATGGTCAAGACTATCAGGAAGCTCTCACATTTTGTTGAGGCTTTAAACTGGATCCATTGGACCAGACCTCCGCCCTAAAAAATTACTTTTCCCTAATATATTACAGTGCCAATTTTGAAGAAGGAAAACCAAAATGTACTGGTAAATTACAAGGAGAACACACACACACACACACACACACACACACACACACACACACACACTCCCTTCTAACCCTGCTGGAGCAGGTGATTGGAGTAGAACAGATATCTTTTTCCTCCCTCCTTCTTTATTTCTTTTTCTCTCTGTCCCTTCCTTCCATCCCCCCTCCCTTCTTTCTTTGTCCCGTTTTCTTTCTGTCCCTTTTCTTTCTTTTCTTCCTTCTCTCTCTCTCTCTTTCTTTTCTCTCTCTCAGGCTCACCCCATTGACTTGGTGCACTGCTCCGCTCCGGCTTTCTTGGGCAGATCCCTCCAGTGCAGTGGGCTCAATGGGGTGGACCTGCGGGGCCGACACCTAGAACGCAGCAGTGGCGGAGCGTTTGAAAAGTAGAGCAAAGCCAGAGGTTGGTAATTTTTGCTGCAAAGAGTCACAAAAGTTTCTGGGCTGTGCACAAGAAGGGACACACATGTCAATGCAATTCAGCAACATAAAATAAAGAAATACAAATAAAACAAATAAACAAGAACAGGCAAATCATCTCTGATTAGATTCTATTCACTACTAGAATCTAATCACAGATGCTTTGCCGATTCTATTCCAGTGACCTGCTCCAGCAGAGTTGGAAGGTAGTGTGTGTGTGCGCGCGCATGTGTGTGTGTGTGTGTCTGTCCATGCATGCATAGCTGTCAAAACTCCAAAAACAGGTCAAGTAGCTCTGGGGAGGCTAGTCATAAATTAGAACACTTGCTAAGCAATCGGCCATTAAGTGAGGACCACTTGTATTTGGTTTGCCAGTCACCTGGCCACAACCACTCTGTCATGTGACCAACAAACCACACCTACTCAGTCATGTGACCACCAAGCCACGCCCAGCCAGCAATCCACCCCCCAGCCAATCATGTGAGCAAGCCGTGCCCACCCAGTCACATGATCAGCAAGGCACACCCTCAAATTAGGCCACACCCACAGAAATTTGAATCCCACCTCTGGGTGGGGGGGCACCAAGGATGAGTTTGTAGCACCAAGGGGTCGGTGGACTGAAAAAGTTTGGGAACCACTGGTGTAGGGTCTCCTGCTTGGGGGTGGGGGAGTGGGGTTGGACTAGATGACCTACAAGGCCCCTTCCAACTCTGTTAATCTGAATCTGAAAAGTGGACTGGCAAGCCAGCCAACAAATAAGTGGTCTGAGTTTAGTGCCATGACAACTTTTAACCAGGATTTGCTGGATTCCTAGCACGTCCTCAATCCTACACGCCCGTGACTACAATGCCGTTGACTCTGAGGTTGTGGAGGAGATAGCAGAGGAGAATTTGCTGCAGGATCGTGGCATTCTAAGCCAGGGTTTCTCTTGGCCATGATAAGTTGTGTGGATTTCCACTCCCAGATTTCGCCAATTCAGCGTGCAGCCGGTGTCCCAAGTTGAGAAATGTTGGATCAGTGCATATTGTCAACCTGGGTCAGAGTTTGCTCAGCAAATCATTAGTTTAGCCCAGTGATGGCTAACCTTTTCAGCTTGGTGTGTCGAAAATCAGGAAAAAGTGTAGCCTTCCTCGGGTCGTGTGTCACTTCAAGAAATATCAGTAATTTGGCTTATGACGGACTGGGCTGGGGTGATCACACAGGGCTGTGAAACTCGTCTCCCTGGTCTCAGGGCTGCAGGTGCAGGATGTGGGGATTGGAAGGCCACCTTACAGGGCTGTGAACCTCATGGATCTCCTTTCCTCCTGTTAGCGTTCCTGAGGTAATGAAACTGACAAACCTCAGTTTATGGCGGTTAAAACTGGTTCTCTGCTGCAAAGATCTTGCGGCAGCGGTGACACCACGCCTCCACGCAACAAGCAGGGAGCAGGAATTGGAGCAGAGCACAGGCAGCCTCTAAATGTGCAGGTTTTCCCCACACCAACAGGCGTGTCAGTCAAAGTGCCTCGGCGTGTCACGAGTGACACGCGTGTCATAGGTTAGCCATCACTGGTTTAGCCAATGATTTGTCTTGTCTTGGACTAAGATGGCTGTTTTGAAAGGAACAGGGCTTAGGGAAGAGAAGGATGGATTTTAGGGGAAAGTTTGCAAGACTCTGGGAAAAAATATTGTGTACCAGCTGGATACACCTGCTTCGCTATGGAGCTATGTGGTCGGGCTTAGCTTTTGGGGAGGAATATAAGGGGAAAAATTCTGCCTCTGCCTACCAGCATCCATTGGTATTCATCTGGTATTGTCCTGTCCGTGTGCAAGAGAGTTGAGGGCTGTTTGGAAACTGAAACAGTATTTGCTGTGTGAGCAAGAAGGAGAGCAAGGAGCCTGGGCGTGGCTTAGCTCAACTGTTCTGTACTTAAAGCTACTTGGTGCTGTGAAACTGAAACTCCTCTGCTTGTGTTTTGCATTTGGAAGAGATTTCTTTCCCAGTGGGGAGGGTGAGTAGAACTCCTTAGCATCAGAGCGTGTTAATAAAAATAATATAGGAAATACTAATGCTCTGATGGTCATTTCAAAAAATCCTTTCTTAGCGAGCCCCTAGAAGCTAAGAGGAACATACGTGCCAAATTTCAAGTCTGTAGGCTTTATGGTTCTGGACATTTTGTGATGATGCATGAATGGTATTTCACTTTTATATAGAGATAAGAGATGGTCTTAGATAGCCAGTTTGTATTGATTATTCTGATTTGAATGCTTTTTTTTTTTTTTTTTTGATGTCTGGTAGTCTGAGGTTTGGAAAGTTTGATGCTGCATGTCAGGCTAATCAATGAAAGAAGCTACTATCCGTTGATATAGGTAGTCCTTGACTTTCAACCACAACTGAACCCAAAATTTCTGTTGCTGACCAAGACAGTTTTGAGTTTTGTCCCATTTTATGACCTTTTCTTGCCGGGCTTGTTGAATGAGTCACTGCAGTTAAGTTCAGTCACACGGTCGTTAAGTAAATCTAGCTTCCCCATTGACATTGCTCGCCCGAAGATCACATGACCCCAGGACACTGCAAATGTCGTAAGTATGAGTTGGTTGCCAAGCATCTGGATTTTGGTCACGTGACCATGGGGATATGCTGCAATGGGTGGTAAGTGTGAAAAAAGGGTGATAAGTCCTTTTTTCAGTGTCATTGAACAATCATTGGTTGTAAGTCAAAGACTATCAGTGATTGGATGAATATGCTGACGTTAAGGGATGATTTTGGGAGTTTGCTGAGTTTTCAGAAGCTCAACTTCTATGCAAGATATAAAATATGGGAAGCGTGGTTGTCGTCTTAAGCCCGCAAGGCAGTTAACATAAGCTCTGAGCTTGTTTCCTGGAAGTCTTTAAATTCAGCTCAGTTGTGCTGGTGCTTTCAAGAAGACACTGGATTGCCATCTGTCAGAAATGGTGTAGGGCAGGGGTCCCCAACTGCCGGTCCACGGACCGGTCCCGGTCCGTGGAACAAGTCTTACCGGGCCGCTGGTTGCTGGGCGCCGCCATCTTTTTTTGGTAAAAAAGTGCTTCCGGTGAGCGTTTCCGGGTAGAAAGCCATTTCTACCCGAAAAAGCTCACCGGAAGCGCTGGCGCCGCCATCTTTTTTGACGAAAAAGTGTTTCCGGTGAGGTCACCGGAAGCACTTTTTCGTCAAAAAAAGATGGCGTCCAGTTGATGCCGGTACCGGGCCGCGGCGCCCAGCTGATGCCAGTACCGGGCCGCGGCGTCAAAAAGGTTGGGGATCACTGCTCTACCTGACTCTGTGGTTACTTCCCCAAACCCCAAAAACTTTAACCTTAGACTTTCTACTATTGACCTCACCACTTTCCTAAGAGGTCTGTAGGGGGCGTGCATAAGCGCACCAATGTGCCTACTGTCCCTGTCCTATTGTGTCTTTTATTTTTTTATATGTATCCATGTATTCATAACTATGTTTTTACTTATACCTATTATCTTGTAAGCAATTGACAAACCAAATAAATAAATAAATTTACAGGAATTTCCTAGCTAAAAGATGGTTTGCTGAAAGTTGACAGGCTGGGATTCACTCTTAATACTAAAAGTAGTAAGAACATTCCGAAGCCTCCATTATTATGTGGAAGTGAGAATT